GGTGACCAGCCACAGACCCCAGCCCCGGGCCCACGCCCGATGCTGCTCCCCGGGGGCTCTACGAACCTGTGATGTGACACTATCAATGCCTACATCCTTCAGAGGAGGAGTCTGAGGGTCAGAGAGGAACCATCTCCCTAGGTCACACAGCCGATCAATGGTAAAAGCAATATTTAACCCAGATTCGGGTCACATCCAGGTTCTTCCAGCTTTGAAATGAGGCTTTGGGCCCAGCACGTCCGTCCGTCTCCTCGCACAGGGGAGCAGACTCTGTGTCTTTCTTCTTCCTGCTGCCCAGAGAGGGCAGGGGTCCAGGGAGATCCCTGGGTGACAGGGACACAGTTGTGGGGGGGGGACAGGAGTGATCACCGGACTCAGTTCTTCTAAGTCAACTGAAATTTGACTTCTAGAGGGAAATGCTGGGCTCTCTCTGCCACCGCAGGGTGGGGTCACAGGGGCCGGAGCTCAGAAGGGTTGCGCTCGGTTTAGCGCTCCGCCATCGCTGCCCTGAAACTCTGCATGGCTTCTGGACAGAGGCCTGCATCTTCGCTTTGCACCATTGCGATCTGCTGCCCGCCACCCCCCGCCCCCCCACTGACCATGAAAAGCCAGAAGCCCGCCCCCGGGGAGCTTTCCAGGGCCGCAGGTCTGTCCACACTGCTCCGTTGATGCGCTCGTTGTCAGAGCCCGCATGGCCCTAAAGGGGGCCCATTGCAGCCCCTGGAGAACTCGGCTCCCTCTGGAGCCCCCAAGACCGGGGTGGGGCCTTGCCAGGTACCCCAAGGAGACAGTCCCCCTGAGGGTCTGCCGTCTACCTGGCACTTCCAGGAATCTGCCGGGCCCCCTCCCACTCCCCATCTCGGGACATCTCCCTCTCCAGGGCGTGGTGCTCCCCCTTTGCCCCCAAGGTCTTCCCTCTGTCCGCCTACATGGGGGAGGCCCTGACCCCCCACCCCACACACACACCCCCTACCTGGGGGAGGCCCTGACCCCCACCCCACACACACACCCCCTACCTGGGGGAGGCCCTGACCGCCCCACCCCACACACACACCCCCTACGTGGGGGAGACCCTGACCCCCCACCCCACACACACACTGGCTTTAGGATTTCCCTCCGTCGGCTTCTCACCCAAGGGTAGCATGGGATGGGGAGGTGTTCACACCACTCCGCTGGGGTCACCAAATGCGGAGACAACTGCCATCTTTGCCACCACTCTCTGCACCCCTCCCATCTCCCCGAGAGCGTTCCCACATCTTCTGGAAACAGCACTTAGAATTATCTTGCAGGATCCCCCACCCTACTTGAATCCCTGTGGTCTGGGCAGGGAAACCCCACTCCTAGCATCCAATGGTGGGCACGTGACTGAGGCCTGGCCGGTCAGCTTATTCCGTCCTCCAGGCCTCAGCGACTGGTTCAGGGATGAGAACACGACCCACATCGGTACCATCTGAGTTAATTCCGTGAAACTGTTGAGAAGAAAGAATCTGACTTTCTGCTGGAAGGGGAGGAGGGAGGATGGAAACCTGGAGCTGCCAGGGGCTGACTGGAGAGGAAGACAGGGCCAGAGATGGAGAGAAATCAGGTCCTGATGACAACATTTGAGCCCCTGGATCCAGCTGTCCCTGAACCCAGACCCAGAGCATTTCCGTTACATAAAAATTGTTTTCTTAAATCAGTTGAGTCAAGTTCTGTGTCACTCGTGACAGAAAGAGCCACAAGCACTATGTTGTCTCCTGCTGAGAAAGACAGAGCTGCACGGGAGCAGAAGCCACACTTTGCTCCCAAACACGGTGCCCAGGACTTGGAGAAATTCTCAAAGCTGGCCAAAGCGAGGATTTGGAAAAGAGCCTGTGCTTCTCACTGACGTTTCTTTCTAAGGCAGTTTGGCCAGGAGTCCTCCCAGAGTGCTCTTACCATCCCCCAGAGCACAGAGGCCCCCTGCATAATTCCCTTATCTTGAATGTGGGCAGGACTGTGGATACGGCGGAATATCATTCCCATGGGTAAGTTCCAAATTAGCTGACTTGGAGTTCACCAAAAGGGAGATTGCCCTGGGTGGGCCTGACCAAATCAGGTGAGCTTTTAAAAGGTACCAGGCCCTCCTGAAATCAGTGACTGCAAGTGTGAGAGGCCTAAGGAGGGGCTCACGTGGTGAGGACCCGCGAGAGGCCTCTAGAAGCTGAGAGCAGTTCCTGGCCACCAGTTATCGGGACAACGGGGTCTCAGCTCAGAATTTCCCAGCAACTGGAGGGAGCTTGGAGGCAGTTCTTTCCTCGGTTGAGCCTGGGGAGGAGAACGCAGCCCAGCCAACACCTTGCCTGCAGCCTGCTCAGACCCAGAGCAGGGAAGTCAGCTAAAACATGCCAACTCTTGACCTGGGGTCACCCGCCATAATAAGAGGGCATTGCTTAAGCCACTAAGATTGTGGTAACGTGTTACGCAATATTGAAACGAATACACTCCCTCTGCCCGGCTGGCTCGTCTCCACTCAGGTCTCTGCTCCAATGTTGCCTCCCCAGAGGCCTTCCGTGTCCACCCTGACTGGGGAGGCTCCCATCCCACCAGCCTGCGGCTCCCACCTGCTCTGATGGTCTCTAGCCCCTCTGCCTGCCCCGCGGTATACACCACATCCCAGCGGGTCTATCACCAACCTCCCCTTCTGTCCTGTCTGTCTACACCGTGCGCTGGGGTGGACCCTGGAGCATGAGGAGACACCGGCTGAACAAATGAGCAAATGAGCGAGTGAGTGACGAATGAACGAATGAATCAACAAGCAGGTGAGGAAGCAGCACCCGCTTTAATTGCCCTGAGGGCTGCCAGCTGCAGCTCTTGCGGGGGGCAGATAGGAGTGTGGTTTCCGAAGTTCCGGTTCCTCCCGAGAGAGCAGCGAGCGGCGGAGCCCGCCCCGCGACCTCGGCGACCTCGGCGACCTCTGCGGGGCGCCACATCCCCTCCGGGCGCGTGCGAGGAGGGCCGGCGGGCGGCACCAGCACAGACCCCGGCCTGGGCTCCCGCCTCCCCCGCTGGTCTAGAGACGCCGCGGGCGTGCACTGCTGGCTCCAACCGTTTGGGGTTCGAGCTCAGACGGGTCCTCAGCACGTGTTCTCCGGAAACAAGCTCTGGAGCAGGGTGGTCTTCCATCGAGACGCCCCCCCCCCCCTCCTTCCTGGGTCGAGCTGCCGGGTAGAGTGGGCCCCGTCGGGGGCGTGGCCAAGCCGGAGCAGGTGGCACCTGGCGACCCAGGGCCGCGGGCGGAGGGCGGTGTCAGCGGTCCAGGGGGCGGTTTGCACGGTGATGCTGCACCGCTGGGGGTGCCCGGGAGGAGCCGCGGGCCCCCCTCCCTGCCCTGAGCAGACCCTGAGTCTCCCCACCCCCACCGCCGGCCGCACTAAGGAGGAAGCAGAAAGAGCCTAACGCGGGCCACCCCGCAGGGGACACGCAGCCCTATGAGCAGGCCAGAGCCAGGGCGAGGGGCCAGCGCCGGGGCTGCGGTGGGGGGGCCCCGGGCTGGCTGGCTGGGGGGTCCTGGGGAAGGCACACCCCTGCCAGGCCCATCGCTGGGCTCGTGTCCACAGGCCAGGCATGGCCCAGGGGCCACGACGTCGCGCCGGGACGGAGAGGGGCCGGAGTCTTGCTCGCCATCGTGAAAGCGCCAGCCGCGGTCCCATCCCTGCGGCTCCCGCCCGGCCCTGCGCGCCGCCGCCGCCTTCCTCCTGCACCGGGGCGCGCACAGCGGGTGTCCGGGCAGCGCGGTCTTATCTCGCCCCGGCCGCCCGGCCTGGCTGCTGGCGCCTTTCGTCACCTGCCCCCGGGCCGCGGAAGCCGCGCGCGCCGCCCTCGGAGGAGAAAATCCCAACCCACGTGCCAGCAAACTGGCCGCAGCCAAGGAAAACTTAAGCTCCGGCGGGCGGCGCTCAGTGATGCCCAGGCGAGGGACTGGGCCGGTGACGCGCTCCTCCGGGGAGCCCGCTCCCTCGGCCCACCCGGCCTGCCTGCCTCGCTCTAACCCGTTTGTCACCCAGGGGAGACCGTCCCCACTCCGGATGGAGCAGGGTTGATGGACAAGAGCCGTCCGTGTCCACTGACCTCCAGATGTTGGCCGGTCATAAGTCAGCCCTAACGCCATGAGGGCAGCTGCCCGGTGCAAGCGGTTCATTGGCGGCAGCCAGAGAGTGAAGAAATGGGGGAGAGGAAGGCACGGGTGTCACCCGCAGATGCTGGAGCTCGGTTTCACAAAGTTAGCAGAGTGCCCCCCCGACGCCCCCCCCCCCCCCTTAGGTAGCTCTCTGACTCTCTGACTCTGCTGGAGGAAGGCACCTCCTCAGCCCAACCCAGGAATCACCTGGGGAGCATTAAAAATGCAGGTGTCTGGACCCAGTCCAGAGATTCTGAAGCAAGTGGTCTGGGGGCATGGCCTAGGCATTAGGATTATAAAAGCTTTGGATGACTCTAAGGGCAGTCAAGGTTGAGAACGCAGGTTCCAAGGTTCCAGGTTCAGGAACAGAGCCATGGCCCATGGGCCTAAAGTCTGGACTCTACCCAACTGCAAGGACCACAGAGTTTGAGGTGTGAGCTGAGGCCTGGAGTCCACAACCAGTTGTGCAGTGCACAACCTGTGCAACTGGACACAGTAGCCCTGATAGTGGCAGGGGAGGAACTGAGCATCCAGCCCCCTTCGTTGATAAATAAGGACACAGAGGTGCAGGTTCAAACTCTGGTCCTGCTGTTTGTTCAGGGAATTTGTACTCAGTCCCTCCAACCCCCTGGTCTTGGGAAGGGCACAGACAGAAAACAGAGAATCTCACAAATGAATATATAATGTCATTTGGTAAGTGCGTGTGATGGAAAAGATCAAATAAGCAAGCGTGGAAAGCAGAATAACAGTCCGCCAAAGACGTCCACGCCCCGGTCCCCAGAACCTGGGACCGTGTTGGTTACACGGCTCAGAGGCCTTAGGCCGCAGCTCGAGTCGAGGTTAGTAAACAGCTGACCTTTGGTTTCCACAGATCACACTAGATTTTATTTTTTTTCCTAATTTTAAACATTAGGAAAGTTGGTATATGTGACAGTTTCATATGCATGGATTGGAGGGTCATAGGGCTGTGGCGTCACGTGGGCAGGAAAGAAGATAAAGAAACCCGTGAGAAATCATAGAATAAGTGAAATGCAAAGCAAATTGGAGTGACCCACGTTTAAGGAACATTTAAAGATGGTGGGGTTTTTTTTTTCGATTTCTACTCATTTGATGTTTCGAGTGTTTTTTTCCTTCTTCTTCTTCTCTCCCCAAAGGCCCCCAGTGCGTAGTTGTAAATTTTAGTTGCAGGTCCTTCTAGTTGTGGACGTTTCAGTTTTTATCGAGGAAATCTTTGTTTATTTTGACTGATCCATTCCTTATTTCCATTGAGGTATAACTGACACCTGACGTTGTGTTAGTTTCAGGTGTGGGACATCACGGTTCGCTGTTTGTGTGCGCTGTGAAGCGATCACCACAGTAAGTCTGAAAGCTGACATCCCTCACGGACACGGTTATAACACGTTCTGCTTTTTCCCTGTGGTGAGGACTTCAGGCTCTGCCCTCAGCTGCTTTTCCACATGCGCTGCGGTGCTGTTCCCTGCAGCCACCGCGCTGGGCGTGACGCCCGGGACTCAGCGACCCAAGCAGCTGACCTCATGGAGAGATCACCCCGGACTCTCCAGGTGGGGCCAGTGTCATCAGAAAGAGCCTGAAAAGCGGAAGAGGACGCATATCTGATGTTACCCGTCGGTCACACCTCAGGAGGAAAAGCGGACGAGAACGGAGAGAGCCAGCGAGACGAAGACGGCCGGGTGACAAGGGAGGCCAGGGGCCCCGGGCCGCGTGCTGCGCTCTCAACAACCCCAGTGAGCAGGAGTCGGTGCCCCGGAGCCTTGGGACGGGAGCGCAGCCTGTGGCACCTCGGGCTAAGCTTTCGGGGACCCTGAGCAGAGAGGTGCCGAGCCCCCCGCACCTCCCACCCTTGGAAACTGTGCTGATAGCTGGCTGCCATGTTAGTACCACATTGTGCTTGTTACACAGCAGCACGTTACAGCGGCAGATGGAAAGCCCACAGCCAGTTCCCCAGGGCCAGTGGAGTCTGGTCTGGGTCACAGTGGGCTTCCTGAAAAAGCAGCCTTTGAGGTGAGACCCGTAGGATGAACCTCGCCGACTTGGCAAAGGGCAGAGGCAGAGGGAACAGAAGGTGCAAGGGCCCTGAGGCAGGAGGAAATCAGCTCAAGTGAGAAAAGGAAGGAAGCCCAGTGCGACTGGGAGGCAGACCCCGGGCACGTCGCTGCGCTCTCTGAGCCTCAGTTTCCTCCCCCGCGAGGTGGGATTATAGGAGCTTTCCCTCACTATGAGGGTGAGACGGCCCTGCAAGCTGTGTAGCAAAGCAGCTGGAGACGTGGGCCCCACAGCCAGCCCAGACCGGGGCTCGAGCTCCAGGTCTTCTGCTTACTGCCTGGGTGACCGTGGGAGGCTGCATCCCCTCTCTGAGCCTCAGTTTCCCTCTCTGCCAGGCTGCTGTCAGTCTTAGATAAGAGCGTGTCAGTGGTGCTCAACAAATGCTGGCTATCATTGTCATCGTTTTCGTTAGGAGACGGGGACCCAAAGTCGGACAGGAACGTGCTCAGGGTCCCCCAGAGACTGGTGGGCGCACTGGGTAGAAACGAGTCTCCCGATCCGGCCGTGGACCCCCCAGCTTCTCCGTCTGAAGGCCGCACCAACCGAGGCGGCGGGACTCAGCCAGGAAGGCTGTGTGCGTGTGAGTGTGAGCGTGCACACACGTGCATGCAAGAGCGTGAGGGGGAGCCAGAGTGTGTGTGTAAAGGTACATGTGTGAGTGTGCATGGGTGTGTGAATGTGCTTGGTGGTGTTGATGAGACAACATGGCCTGGGGGACAGACGGACGGTCATCAGTGAGTCCTTGTGCCTGGTCAGGCCGGCCCCCGGGGAGGGGGGGGCAATACTCACCAAGAGGCTCCTGGCCCTGGTGGGCTCCTTACAGCCACAGGCCGTCATTTCAGACGGTGTCTGTCCAGGGAGCAGCTGACCCTCTGGGGCGCGTTTCACGGGGATGGCGGGGCGGGGCAGGAAGTGACCCTTCTCCTCAGGGAGTCGCGACCCGGCTCTGTGCTCGTGGCTTCACGTACATCTCCTTATGTAGTCAGCACAACAGCCATATTATTCACATTACAAATGAGGAAACTGAGGCTCTGGGAGCCCGGGAGACCCCAGTTCTGCATCTCCGCTGTGCTCAGAGCCCTTGCAGCATTGGCTGCGGCTGCAGCCATCAACAGGCCGTGTGCCCCTCCCACCTCTTGGATCTGAGCTGGTCCTGTAATTCGCTTTGGCCAACAGACTTGCCGGCAGAGATGTTGTGCCAAATCTAAGCTCATGCCCCTGACAGCCTTGCGTGCTTCTGCCCTCTCTCGGACTCCTGTCCCCATCAGGAGAACAAGCCTGGCAGAGAAGGAGCGACAGGTCACCCAGCCGTGCCCTCACCTAGATGATCGTTAGCCACGCCCCAGAACAGAGCCTCCAGCTGGCCCAGCAGGCAACTGCAGAGCGTGAGGGACCCCAGCTCAGACCAGAAGAACCATCGAGCTGATGGTTCAGGCTAAATTAACTCACTGAATCATGTTGTTTTAAACTTTGGGGTCATTTGTCACCCGGTGGTAGCTAACTGATACCCATAATCATACAGCTGTTGAGTAGAGTAAGTTTCAAACCCAGGTTTGTCTGACTCCAGAATTCATGCTCAACCCTATATTCTGCCATCCCCCAGCGGGGAAATGAGTGTAAGGGTCCAAAGCCACTGATGGTCCCACTCTGCCCTCACACGCTTCAGTCTTCGTCTTCCGGGAGCACGCCCAGTGCCTGCTCTCTCCACCTGGGAGCTCCTGCCTGGCTCGGGCCCTTTCACCCCCTTCTCTTACCACAGTCCAGGCAGGGACCGAGCGCTGGCCGCAGCCTCGGGTGCCCCCAGCCTCCACCTAGATCAGCACTGTCCCCCCTCATTTGCGAAGTCCGTGCAGAGAGCTGGCAGAACGAACCCACGGTTTCGACACGTACACATCAGCGGCCACGATAAAAACCAGCTGGAAGGTTTAAAAATAGCCTCCCAGGCTGCCGGAGATGCCAGGTCCCTGGCCGGGAGGAGCAGCAGCCCCGCGGCGGGGGCACCATCTGCGGGGCAACAGCTGCCGCCGCACGCCCAGGAGACTCCCGGCCGGGCCCAAGACGCCCGAGAGCGTGGCCGAGCCTGAGCCCCTGGGAGCACAAGCCCCCAGACAGGGGAGGACGGAGAGGAAGATGACGCCGGGCCCAGGAGGAGGCGCTTCCTCCTCCCCCTTGTCAAACCTCTCTCTCCTTTCCCTCCTATCCCCCATCTCTCTCCTCCTTCATCACCCCTGTAATTAATGCTCGGGCGGGCCGTGGAGGGACAGGACCCACGCCCTACCCTCCCAGGCTGTGCGATCTTAAGCAGGTGACTCCACCCCATGAGCCTCAGTTTCCTCATCTGTCAGATGGGGCCCCTGCCTTGCTGGATGGTGCTGTTTCCGCAGGACAGCGCCAGTGAAGAGCTCAGCGGAGCCACCGGCAAGTCCGCGAGAGCCCCGTCTCCCCTCTTCCGAGAAGGCTGACGGTGATGGTGAGGACCCCACGCCAGCCCCGCGCTCGTCCTCTCCCTGGCCCCTCTCCCTGCTTCTGGCCCTAGGCCTCTCCTTCCCCTCTCAGACCCCGACCTGGCCCCCGCAGGCTGAAGACAGACGATGAGCTGGGGCCTGTTGCGCTGAATTCCACCTCGGCGCGGCCTGCTGCCCTGCTCCAGCCGCACCTGGCTCGCAGAGGGAGCCTGGCCGGGCACCCTCCAGCTCCCCAGTCAACCCCTCACCCGCGGGCTTCCGGTTCACGCTGCATCCCAGCACCAAGCCTGGCGCGTCACACAGTGCTGCTCGATGAGCATCGCTGAGGGACTGAAGGAACGAGCGGGACTCCTGTTGTTCCCACTTTACAGATGAGAAACTGAGGCTCTGAGAGGTGGGCCGGCATGTGGCAGAATACAACCCTTGCAGGTTGAGGGAAGCCAGGCTTGGGGGAGTGACAGGTCCCACCAAGGTCCCAGTGGTGGGATTTGAACCATTTCACTGGCACCGAAGCCTGAGTCTTAACCACCAGCGACGCCTCATTCTCACATCTCTTCTAGCCGACTTCCACAGTCAGCATCCTTGCAGGTCAAAGCCTGTCATGCATGTGCTGTGTGGCCTTAGGCAACTCACATAACCTCTCTGAGCCTTGGTTTCTGCACTGGTAAAACAAAAAACAGACCTCAGGCAGAATTTCCCTCAGCTCATTTTTCCTCTGCTTTCTCAGCATCTAGCGCTGGCTCTGGCATGCAGTCTGTGCCAAATAAATCTGTTGATTAATTAATCAAAAGGACAAGTTTACCTTAGAGCATTGAAGTCTGCCCAGGAGCTCTCCAGTTGGGTGTCTCTGGGAACATATTCCTTCTCTCCCCACTTTAAAGAAACAGAAACTGCAAAAGGCAAGAGATGCACTGGGCATGTGGTTCATGCAAGAGAGACCGGGGAAGCCCATCGCAGACTCCCAGGCCCTCGGAGAAAAGACCTTTTTCCCACATCGAAACATGGGCGGGCGGACGTGCATCACCAGGCTGCCCGTTAATACGCAGCGTCGAAGCCAGACGGTGCACTGGTTGCCATCTTGGCAGCCCCAGCAGAGGCATCTGGCGACACGGACGCGTGGTCTGATGGCATTGGCTGGACGTGTCCATTTTCTCCAGCCCCACAGGAAGGCTGTGTGTCCCTGCTGTGCCGGCGCTGTGCCAGGCTCTGGGAGACCCCTCCGCGTGAGCCAGGCCCACCCCACCCTGAGGGCGCTCAGAGCTCGGGACCAGGTGGGGTCCCCAAGCTTCGGACCCAGTCCCTGAGGTTCCAGCAGAACAGCCCCAAGTTCCACGGGGCAGGTTCCCACGCCTGGGTGGGTGCTTCTGGAGACCGCAGAGAACTTTCCAGCAGAGTGCACCCCTGGGGCCAGGGTCCAAGGCCGCAGCTGTCGGGGGAGCCCCAAGCCCCTTGCAGGAACCCCAGGGGGCAGCCTCCTGTTCCTGTCCCGAGGAGAGGCCCTGGGGCCCTCGGCCGTCCTGCCGTCCACCCCCAGGCTCCCCAGCTCTGCCCAGGCCCCCCGCCCACAGCGTCCTGCCAGGCTGGCTAAAAGCAGGCGCTGCGCCAGCTTGCCAGCCTCCGGTCCGCAGGGACGACCCTGACCCTGGGCTTCAACAGAGAGGCTGGGAGACACTTGCCTTAGGCTGTGTGTCCTGTCCCCACGTGGCTCCCGGCTGCTCCCAAGATGGGAACCAGGGTGTCTCTTTCATAGACTTTCCAGACCCTTCCTGCGGGTCCTACCACCGCTGCGGGCTGGAGTGTCCATGGGCCCGGCCAGGTCACACACACCCCCACGCCCCAGGGAGCGGGAAGGGCCCGGGGGCTCGCACTGGGCCCCCACACTCAGGAGGCCCCAACCTCGGTTTAATGCCCTGCTGTGGCCGTCTTCACAGTCTTGGTACGTTTTGAACGTGGGGTCACACATTCCCCTTTTGCACGGGGGCCCTAATTCTGCCCCACCCCTGAGATCCTAGAACTCCTGAAAAGCCTTCAGAAACGGGCAGCAGCAGAAACCGCAAATAGCCCCACGTCCCGACTCCCACACCAGGGCCCGGGCACTCACTCCTGCACGTGCTCACCTCGCACGGCTGTGCTCACGGGGCCTCACGGGTGCCCCTGCACATGCACACACATGCATGTTTACATGTATGACAGCTGTCACCCTGGCCACAAGCTTCCTGCTGTGCGGGTGGCTCGGGAGACCTCGAAATGCCACCCCAGCACCGCTAGGCTGAGGAGAAAGCAGGGAGGGCCGAGAAAAGCCTGGAGGGGGTGTTGGGGCCAAGGGAGCACCCCTACCTCCCCCAGTCTCCCTGGAAACCAGGGGTGCCCCCCTCGCCCGGGATCCCGCTTAGTCCTCCCATAGCTCTCTGCAGGGCCCTCCGCACTGTACCCGCGGGGTCCCCGCAGCCGTCCCCGAGCTCAGGTCTGTGTTACGCCTATTTTAAGGATGGCAAAACTGAGGCTCCAGGAAGCAAAGTCGCCCGCTGGAACCAAGGCACGAAGGCAGGCAGACCCGGGAGCTCCAAGCCCCTCAGAGGCTCCTGACATGTGACAAGCCTCAGCCCACCTCGCCCTGGCCCCCCGTGGGCTTGCCCCCTCCTGTTCCTCACCTGCAGGGGTTTGCTCCCCAGGTGGGGCTCCAGCTGGTTCAGAGGGGCACGTCCTCCCTCCAGGGCTCACACTGGCCCTCACAGGGACAGGTGGGGACAGGTCACTCACCGGCTCACAGGCACAGGTGGGGACAGGTCACTGCCCAGGGGCCCCCAGTGATCTCGAGAGCCCAGGGCCCCTCCCTCGGCCAGCCTTGCCCTCGACCCCACAGCCCAGGCGCCGGCAAGGGTCTGACCAGTGTGCCTGGGACCTGCCAACGGAGTCCAAGAGCAGAACCCCCCGGGGCATGGGGACTGGGGTGGGTGTGCTCACAGCGGGGATGGATGCGGCTGGTGCCCTGGGGCTGGCTGGGGCTCCCGTGGGGCTGTGGGAGTTCCCGGAATCTGTCTGCACCTGGCCTTCTCTCAAGATTGTAGATGGAGCCTTCTGAAGGTTCCAAATGGAACATTCCAGAAGTTCTAAACGGAGGCTCCTCTCCTGGGGGTGCTTCTCAGGGGGACTCCCCTTCGAGCCACAGGGCCAGCGTCCAGGCGGCTGGCTGGGCTGGGAGGAGGGGAGGCCGCAGGCCCGTGGGCCAGGCCTTATTTGGTCAGAGCCCGCGCCCGCTGCCTGGCCGGAGCTCCTGGGACCGGGAGGCCCACGCCGCCGAGCCTCCGCCGCCCGCAGCTCGCCTGTCCCCAGCCTCCTCGCCAGCCCTGCCCTACGGCCAAGGCTGCGGCCCCAGGGAGCCCGAGATGCCGGGTCGGCCGAGGTGGTGGCAGCCCTGATCGCCACCGGGCTGCAGGGTCCCGGCTCCTGTCCATATATGGCCGAGGAGAGGCGGTGGCCACCCGCCCGCCCTCCTGGAGGGGTTGTCCCCAGCGGGGGGCTGGGCACTGGCGCTGAGGCCCCGCGTTCCTGTAGGAGCCTGGCAGGGGCCTATCTGACGGTGCTGAGAGTGTGCTGGAGCCTCCAGCGCGGGGAGTCACCCACCCGCCCTCCCCCGGGGCATGTGACTGGCAGCTCTGCGGGAGCGAGCGGAGGGCGCGCGGGCACTGGGCCTGGGAGAGGGACGCAGGTCCGGGTCAGAAGCTCGGGGCGACCGGGCTGGGACCGACCCTCCCGGGCCTCGGCTTCCTGATCTGGTACCCACCACACCCAGGGGGGGCCCGAGGGTGCAGGGAGGACGAGGGGCATGGAGGGGCGCCCAGGGGGGGTCACCATCGGCAGGGCCGCCAGTCTCCGAGTCCTGCTAGTGTCCTGACTCATCCGTCTTTGTCACTTCATCCAACCTCACAAACACCAACCTACTTGGGTCTGCCTGGGCCTCTCCTGGTTTTAGCCCCGAGGGTCCTGCCTCCGGGCGACCAGGACAGTTAGTGGCTCGCCCTGCAGGTGGCCCAGCGCCACCAGGAGCTGGGAGAGGGGAGTGGCTGGCCGGAGCCCTTCCTTGACCCATACCCCCTCCACCCCAACCAGGAGAGGCCAGGGGAAAGCACAGGGCAGCCCCCTCTGTCAAGGCCAATGACCGCTGGCAGGACCGAGGGAGGGTGGGGCTGCCGCTGGGGGGTGGGGCGAGGGAGTGGCCGGACCTGCCCTCCAATCCGGAGGCCTGTGACCTCAAGCATCTTCTGGGCCCCAGTCGCCCCGCCTCCTAAATGGGAGAGCCACGATAGGCAGCCATAGCCCAGCTTCGCGGATGCCAAGCTCTGTTCAGAGCTGTGCACCCTCGGCAGGAAGGGCTGCTCACTCTGTGCAGACAAGGAGCAGAGCCCAGAGAGTTTGAGACAGCTGCCCCAGGTCACACAGCTGGGAACTGTAGAGCAAGGATTTGAGCCCAGAACCACCTGCTTCAGGCCCATGCGTAACACAGGAGACAGCGCCCTGCAGGGGTGGCATGCAAGGGCTCTGGGGTCAGCCCCTGAGGGCCCAACTCTAGGCTCCCTGGCCTGAAGGTCCCTTGGCCCTGGGCAAGTTGCCGGACCTGTCTGGGTCTGTTCTGCACCTACCACGTGGGGATGACAACAGTACCCACCTCGCAGGTTGGTCGTTTACCTAAGAAATTTCTGTTAGGCTCCTACACTGGGCAGACACTGATCTAGACGCTGAAGATACGGCAGAGAACAGAACCCACAGAAATCCCTGCCTGGAGTCTATATTCTGGGTGGGAGCACAAAGACCCAAAACATAGCCCTCTGTTGGGGGAGGGAACAGAGCGTGAGGGGGGCGGTCCCCTTTAACGAGGAGGGAGCCTGCTACCTTCGAGGAGAGGGCATTTGAGCAGAACCCGAATGAAAAGAGGGAGCAAGCTGTTCTGATTTCAGGGAGAAGAGCACTTTGGGCCTGAGGGAACAGCCTGTTCGAGGGAACAGCCAGTGCAAAGGCCCTGAGGCAGGATGAGGTTGGAAAGGCTGGAGCAGAAGAAGTGGTAGGAGGCAGGCATGCAGAGGTGGGCAGGGCTCTGGTTGTGCAGGGGATGAGAAGCCGCTGGAGGGTTTCAAGCAGAGTGAGGACAGGATCGCAGTGAAGGTTTTAAAGGATCTGTCTCACTGTGTGAGGGAGGACGCAATGATCCGACAGGAGGCGAGCATGGCTGGGCCCAGGCTGGGAGCAGGGCAGGAGGGGAAGGTCTGATTCTGGAGATACTTTCCAAGTCAAGCTGACGGATGGGATATGGCGGGGGCAGAGGGGGAAGGGAGCGGGGAGTTGGAGAGGGTTCTGGGCTCTTGCGAGCACTAAGCGAGTTCACACCCCAGGAGTTCTTCCCCAGGGCCCGGACGGGGTGACTCCCGGTGACCATGACACTGGCTCCCTAAGCCGCATCCCACAGTCGTCATGGCGACTGAAGGATGACGCACGGCGAGTTCAGCCCAGTGCCTGGCCGGCTGGCAAGGACCATCGTCACCGCAGGGTCATCCTCTCACCCCTGGCTCCCTGCTAAGCTCCAGACAGAGGGACGGGTCCCCGCGCCTGTCCTCAAATCCCGCAGCGTTGGCTCGTCTGGCCAGTCCTGGGACCTGGGCCCCCGTGAGGACACGGGATCCCTGCAGGAGGGAGGCGTGTCTGGTGGCTCCCGCCTCGGCCCAGGCATGGAGACAGGTCTCTGCCGCCAGAGGCCTGGCTTGGATGGTTTCCTGGAGTCTCCGAGGTCTGGGGTTAGGCTCCATCATCCGGAGCTTCCTTTGTGAAGCCATTCGGGGCACGGGCAGCCCCCTCAGAGGACTCAGGACCACCATCCGAGTCACTTCTCTTGGACACACAAATCCTCTCATGCTACCTGCCTTGGCCCCAAACTCTTCAATGGCTCCCCATTGCCCTTGAGATACAAACAACCCTAGGATGGTCCGTGAGGCCCCGTGGGGCCTGGCCTCCAGCCTCTCCACCACCATGATTCCCTCACACTCTGCTCTCCAACCTCTCTGGCCCCTGTCACACTCACTCTGGGCTGCCCTCTCGAAAGCCACTCCCCATTTCTTCCTTGCTAGCAAAACATCAGTTTGGTTGGACCAGCAACATCCCCTGCACCTGGGGACGAATCACGACTGGTCTAGTCACAGCCGCCCCATTGCCCTCTGCCAGATTCTTGCCTTCTCAGCCTCCTTTGCAGCTAGTAGCAGCGACGTGACCCAGTTCTAGTCAATGAGATGTAAGCTTTCTCCCTGCTGTCCTGCTTGTGCTGCTGCTGTGAGGTCAAGAGGCTGGAGCAGTGGCAGCCATTTTGTGATCAGGAAGCAACTGGTAAAAAGGACTAAAAACTAACACACTAAGGTGACTGAACAGAAGCATGGGGGAGACCAGGGTCCTTCGTGAACACAAAAAAGAGTTATAGTCAGGGGACAGGAGCATGGCTTCCGTGCTCTCCATCGCCTGTCCAGCCACGCCAAAATGACCCCCAGACTGACAGAGATGCCAGGCTCCCTGCAGGAGAGTGTTGTCAGGAGGGCCTAGGCGGAGCTGACAAACGCCGACCTGAGACTGAAAGTGCGTGCAGTCAGACCACGGGGATCGGGGGGGAAGCAGGCTGTGTCCAGGGGAGAGCCCTGGCCAGGACGACGGGAGCCAGACCCCCAGAGGGAGGCAGGAAGGCACCCTGCACCTGCTCAGGAGGCCTCCTTCGGGGGGCCCTGGAGAATTACGAGGAAGGCCACGACCCACAGGCCCCATGGGAGGCCTCTGTCTAGTTCCCTTTCCTGTCACCATCTCAGCAAGCAAACTAACACTCACTGAATGAATGAAAAACCTCCTAGCACTTGTGTGCCAATCACTACCGTATTTAACCTCCCACTGACCCTGGGAGGCAGTGACTGCTGCAGAGAGAGTCTGAAGAGTGCCTTCTCGAGACAGCCTGTGGGGAAACTGAGGCTCAAAGGGCTTTGGTGACTCGCTGTGGCCAGGCCATACGGGCTTTGCAACCAGAAGAGCTGGGTTTCAGTCCCAACTTTGGCACTTGCTGGCTGTGTGACCTGGGACAAATGGCTGACCCTCTCTGAGCCTCAGCCCACTCCTCGGCGGCACAGAGAGGAAGATAACGGTCTGCCGCAGAGGGCTCCTGAGGGGTGAGCGGTGGTGTCCACCAAGGCCGACCACAGAGAACATGGTCTACACCAGGGGTCGGCAAACTAGCGCCAAACCCGCCCAACACCTGAATTCGTAAATGAAGCTTCGTGGGCACCCAGCCGTGTGTGTACAGTTGAGGGCTGCTTCGGTGCCATGACCACAGAGCTGAGTCATTTCAACAGAAACGGGATGGCCCACAAAACTGAGGGTACTTACCGTCTGTCCAGACAGAAAGTTCGTCTACACCCCGACCGATCCGAGCATGAGATCCTGGCAGCGTCAGCAACGTGGGTTGGAGATGCAGGACCTCAGGCCCCCTGACTGGCACCAGAGCCTGCATTTTAACCAGACGGCCCAGGCGGGGAAGATCCGGCTGGAGAACGACAGGTCTGCGCCACTGGGCAGGGTCGGGGGGGCGGCCAAGTTGACGGGGAGAGGGACGAATGAGTTTGAGGGAGGAGGCTGCAGGCCAGGTTCCCGCCGCGACGCTCACCGGAGTCACCCAGGGAGCCCTCAGACGCACCGGTTCCCGCCAGGCCCGTCGGCGAGGCTCATTTCATTGGCCGGGTGGGGTCAGCCAGGGCACCTTGTGGAAACTGGTGCATTGATTGGACGAACAAAGGAGAGGAGAACGGGGCAGTGAGAGCTGACACCCGGGGCACCCCCCTCCCCAAAAGGAAGCCCTCAGACCAAGAGGGCAGCCAAAGGGTTGCGCTGGATCTGTAGGATGCTTCCCCGGACGTGACTTGGGGACACGGAGAAGGAGGGAAGAAGAGAGAGAGGGGAGAAAGGGAGAGGAGGCCAAAGGTCCCAGAGACTAAGAATCAGCTACCGGGACGTGGGGACAGAGGAGCGCCGGGCGAGGGGCTGGTGAGACCCGCACCTCCGGGCGTTTGCCTGCCCAGCCCGTCTTGCCAGGGACCCAGGAAGGCCCTTGTCTGCGAATCCCAAACTCCAGACCCTTGGGGGCCACCTCTATGACTCCGACCATCTCCATCCATCTACCATTTGCTTCATATTTTTATTCAAAATGACTCACCTTATTTTTTTTTACTTAAGTTTATTTTAAAAGAAAATTCTCTGTGATCCATGTAAATGGAAAAGGAGTGTCACTGCCACCAAGAGAAGACGACTCCGAAAACGAGCACGTGGGAGATAAGTCACGCAGTAAACGCCGCTGCCTGCCCGCGGCTCGGAGCCGGAGCCCTGCCCTCGCTCTGCTAAGCAGGGGCTGAGCAGCTGGGGGACCGGCTGTAAAGACGCAGGCACCAGGCTAAACTGAGAAGAGGAGAAAAATTGTCAAAGAGGAAGGGCCTTCTCCCCGTGCCCTGCGCTGAGCCTCCTGTCGGCCACAGAGTCTGGGTCCCGCATTTCCCACACCCCCATCCCACAAACCCCTTCTTCAGAGATGGGGAGCCAGGGCCCCAAGCACAGAAGCCACCGTTCCCTCAGAGCTCGTGACACATCGACACTCACACCAGCCTCGGACGTGCCACCAGGATGTGTCCCCTCCCGTCCCCTTCTCAGGAGGCAGAGCATCTCCACAGTCTCAGCCTCCTTGAAGCCGCAGCTGCCTGGAGCTGTCGCCATCCTTCCAGCACTTCCACCCTCGAGGCCACCGGTGCTTCTGCCCAGAGCGGACACTGGGGTTCTGGGCATCACTTCAACTGCTCAGCGTCCATCGAGGCGGTGTGAAGGGCTGGGCTCCTTCCTCGGGCACACACAGAGCGCGGGTGGCTGGGTCTGCAGGCCGGGCCTGGCCACCTCGAGACCAGCCACCAGTGGCCGGTCGTCAGGATGGTGGCTCGCCCACATTCCAGAGCCGCAGGCTGGGGCATGCCTGCCGGGCAGTGGCTGGTGTTTACCGCCAGGCAGAAGCACAAAGGAGCCCTTTTGTCTCCAGGCCGCACCCTGGTGACCGCACACCCCACGGAGCTGCAGGTCACCCTCTCTCTGGTGGGCAATTCTGCCTTCATGTTACCGAGCAACTGCGTGGGGCGGAGACCCCCCACTGCCATCGAGTTTGAGGTGGTGCCGCCTGGGTTCAGCCCTCAGCCCTGCCGCTCACCTCCTGAGGGACCTCGGGGGAAGGGCTGACTCAGGGCCTCATAAACACACAGATGCAGAGCGGCTGTAAGGATTAAAGAGTAATCACGTTCAGCATTTCAAACAGTGTGAGCGCTCCACAAATGTTAGCACGGGGCATCTGAGTTTTTCGATTTTTGGTTTTTCCATCTCCCACTTTCAAATAACTCCACTATGCATGTTTCTGTCCCTGAGGACAAAAATGTTTTGCCAAAAGATGAAACGCTGGGTTGGAGGGTACGTGCAGTGTCACAGCCCTTGTTTCACACAGACACAGTGATCTTCAGCATCTGAATCTGTTTACAGCGAAGCTGATGTGTCATTTTCCCCACATCCCTGCCAACACTGGGTTTTATCATTTTATACTTGTTTTCTAACTTCATCGGCCTGTAGAGCAGCTCTCGTGTGCACCTGTTGCTCTGCCTGCCAGACTGTGCATTCTCCCAGGTAACAGTTAACTGTCGACGTTTCCTCAGGGATAAACGTTTTGTTCCGCTCCTTTGAAGGTTTCTCAGACGGCATCTGCAACAGTTCCTGGCAGGTGCACGCTGGAAGCATCTTCCGAGCAGGAAGGGGGGACGAGAGAGGCTGCAGCTTGGGAAGGCAGTGACAGTCTCTGCCCCCACCCCCCATTGCCTGCCTTCCATTCCCCTGAGCGTCCTCAGAGCACCCCCCATGGAGGAAACCCTTCCGGGGCTGGGGTTGCAGGCACTGAGGCGGGGGGGGGGGGGGGGGGGGGGGGGGGGGGGGGGGGGGTAGGAAGAACGGAGGGACCAGAGGAATGGGCTGCATTTCCTGGAGCAAGAAGCCAGCCAGTGAGGCCGAGGTGCAGCAGGTGCAGTCCCGCAGCAACTCTCCCCGGAGCCCTGGGGGCCAGGAACCTCTCCTTCCAAACTGACGGGTCAGAATAAACGCCTCCACAAGTTAGGATTCCAGGCGACGGTCCCTCCTTGCTCCTTCCTCACTGAGGCTCCCAGGCGCTGTGTCGGCAAGATGCCAGCACCTCTTTCTCAGGTCATCCCTCACCCGGAACCTGCGAGGACCCCAAAGTCGTCGTCAACCACAGGGGGCGGGGCCGGTTCCCAACCAAACATCCCTGCCGCCGGGGGTCTTGCCACCACACGGGCTTGCTGTGGAAGACGGGTCTGGAACAGCCTAGCAGACGGGAGTTCACTGTGCAGCGGCGCCCGGGCTGGCTGAACTGGCCGCCCGCATCTTGAATGTCGCCCACACTTCGAACTTGAGTTTCCAGCTCTCGAGGGTCACTCAACACTCAGAACAGAATGACAAGTCACTTCCCCATCCAACACACCTCCTGGGTCCCCACCCCCAGCACAGAAGCCCCCTGGGCAGCCCAGATGGTGGCACTGCCCCTACTTTGACAGAGAGGCACCTGGAGCCTCAAAGAGTAACATTTCCGGAGTCACCCGGCTAGAGTCACCACCCTGGGCACTGAAGGGTGTTTAGCAGCATCCCTGGTCCCCACCCACGGGACTCCAGGAGCATCCCCACCCCAGCCGTGACAACCAAAAATGTCCCCGGACATTGCCCAGTGTCCCCGAGGGGCAGACTCGCCCCCACTGGAGAACCACTGCTTTGGACGTGGCTGAACACATCTGCTGTCTGGGGACCAGTGTCCAGCAGATTCTCCTGATCTTTGGGATCCACACCATCTCGGTGGCCTGTGGGGGCCCTGTAGGACCTCACCACCCCTCTCCAGCTTGCCCTAATGCGGTCGCCTGCTGTTTCCTCTGCCCTCAGCTCTCTCTGTGTCTCTGGTCCCCTTCCAGGCCCTTCCACGCCCTCAGGGGCCAGCAGAGGCAGGCCCTGACTACACTCCCTGAGCGCCCCAGCTTCACCATCCCCCTCCAGCCATCCCCCTGATTTAGTGTCCTCACGGCCTTTTCTTAAATTGCCCTGTTTCTGTATCTCCTTATTGACGTGTTTGTTTCCGTCTCAGCTCCACGGGGCTCGTCCATCCCGTTCTCTGCTGTCCCCAGAGCACAGCAGAGCACACGGCGCACGGAACATGCTCAGGACGCTCCACGAATGAGCCGGGAGACGGGCGGGCTCCTTGGGTCCTAGAAATGGACCTCATCCGCCCCCAGGCCGCGGAGGTGAGCAAAGCCTGCCAGGCCGCCTCACCCGAGCACCCCCCAAGCGTGCCCACCACCCCTTGGGCTCCTCGGGGCTCTTGGGAAACAGCACGGCAAGCCCCCTCGACCCTCCCCGGGGCCAGAAGCCACCGCCGGCCAGTGCAGGAGGCAGCGGCTCTAATTATAGAAGGCAGGTTGTGAGGGGCCCGGCTCCTCTCTGGTGACAGGAAGTGGCTGCTCTGATTAATACCCTGGGGTGTGTTCACCTCTCGTTGAGACAGTTCCCCGGGGAGAGGAAATGTGGCTGAAGGAAAAGTGGTGCAATGAATTCAGCCGTCCGGCCAGGCGGCAGCACCAGGATGGAGCCTCTGGCTCCCGGCCGTGGGGATGGCCCAGAACCTGGCTCTGCGTCCCCCGGGCCGTGTCTGCTGAGCTGCCGGAACCGGTCTGCACCTCGGTGGTAAAAGAAAGGAGCTTGGACCGGATTCGATTTTCACAGTGGGTGTCATGTGGTGGTTCAGCAAGGGCTCCCAAGCCAGGAGCTCTCTGAGCCTCAGTTTCCCCACCTGCAGAAAGCTGATGGGAGCGGGCCTCTCACAGAGCCTTTGGGAAGATTCCTCGAGACGGTTCATGCAGCCGGCTGGCCTAGCCCATGGCCTGGCACAGGCGAGGGCTCGGTAGTGTCCACGTTGTCAGAACCGCTACACGGTTGGTGTGGCCGAGGGCAAAAGGAAAACGCTGGGCCCCGTTAAGAATTTCCAGCCGGAGACAGCAGAGGATCACACGTGCTGGGGCAACTGCCCGGCCGCACCAGGAGGTGGTGGACGCACAGGGGTGGGCGGGGGGCAGGGGCTCCACCTACAAGGATAGATCCCTGTCCATGACTGCCATCAGCGATCCTAAACGTTGTCACCAGAAAACACACAATCAGAGCCGTTCACACAGGATGAGGCGCTCGCCTGTGAGGTGTCGACAAGGCCGCAGACTGACCCTGCCCATGCGTACAGAGGGGGACCCCAGGGCGGGAGGCGGCGCCCCACCCACCGAGCTTGGCTCTAGGGGAGGTGGGAGTTACAGCAGAATTTAGCTGCATCTGTAACACTTTATTTCTTAAAGCAAGAAAGGATCAGCGGCCAATGTGACTGACTCTGAACGTCTCGTTCTGGGTAACGGTTAATTCTGGGCAGTGGCAGGAGGGGGTCATTGTATTATTCTATGAAGTTTTCTAATTTCATTACTAAAACGTAGACTTGATTGCTTTAAAAAGCTAGAAAGCATTGGATTAGAGAGCGCTGTTTTTTGGCTGACACCCAGTGAGTAAGGTGTCTTGGAAACTCATGAGCATTAATTGAGCACCAACTAAGTGCCTAGTTCAGGGCTGGTTCCAGGGAAATAAAAATTAGCATTTTCCCCCCAGGAGCCCAGAGTCCAGCAAGGGAGACAGAAAACAGACCTGCATGTCCTGTGCTGGGCTCCCTGGGAAGCGGCCCCAGTCCCAGCATGGGGCTGCTGCTTTGCTCTTTTCACAGCCAAGCGGGCTCTTGGTGTCTCCCTCCCTGCGGGACGCTGGGAGCCTTGCAAGTTGGCGGCCAGCACTGAGGGCTGCAGTGTCAGGGGTCGGGGCATCAGCGGACGTGTTGGGGCACAGTCATGGGTGGAGGGGAGCCCCCGGGCTGCCCTGGCCACCGCTGGGCCCCTTAGATGAGCAACGAGAGGCACTGCCCTGAATTTTCCACAGCCGCTACTGGCAGGCCCCGGGGTTCGTGGCCGTGGAGCCGGAGGTGTCGCCCTCCCCAGGGGCTCCAGGAGCCTCTTTGGCAGTAGTGGGCAGAGGACTAGGACCCCAGGCTCCCCCCAGCCCAGGGCTGGATCCTGCTGGGGCCTGGGCAGCTTTTCCACCCCTGGGTCGCTCTCTTGTCATTTCTGTCTCCTGTGTTTGTTTGTTTAACTTTGTATTTTGAAATAATTTTAGACTTACAGAAAATGTGCAAAGATAGTATGAGTTCTCGCATCTCTCACCCAGCTTCCCCTGATATCAATCGTACATGACAGTAATTCATCAAAACTAAGAAATTCACTTCGGTGCAAGACCACGAACTAAACTACAGACTTGGTTCATTCGTTCCCCAATGTCCTTTTTCTGTTCGGGGACCCACATGGCCCTCGGTCATCTTGGTCTCCTGCAACCCGTGCGGTCCTCCCGCCTTCCCCAGCCTGGCCGGATTCGAGGAGCATGAGTCACCGGGTTTGCAGAGCGGGCATCAACTTGGGTTTGTCTGACGACCTCTCAGGTTTTAAAATGCGACGTAATCCGCATTGCATGAATGCACCCGTGTAAAGCGTGCAATTCCGCGGCCTTCAGTGCAGAGTTGTGCAACCATCACCGCCATCTAACACCAGACACTCCTGTCACGCCAGAGGGAAGCCCAGCCTGGCCCGCTGTGTCCACCTCCAGGCCACTTTCTCCTGCCCCCTCCCTCCCCTCCTCCAGCGCCCTGCGGCTCCACTCTCGTTTTCCTTTCAGTTTCTGTTTGTGTCCCTCTGAGTCACTGTTCTGTTTCTCTCTCTGTCAGTCTCGCTCTCGCTCTGACTCTCTCCCTCTATTTCCTCCCTTCGCGTTCTACTTTGCTGCATCTCTCTTCCTCTTTTGCTCTGAATAGAACAGGGGAAAAACCTGAGGAAACAAGTAAAATGTCCCAAGGACACAAGCTCAGAGCTCTGGAGGCTGACAGGCTGGGGAAGGAGAGTACCTGAGGGCTGCAGCTCGATGCGGCAGCCAGGGGCCTCTCTGAGGAGGTGATGGGGAAGCCAAGGCCCTGGAAGAAAAGCGGCCAGCCTGGAAGAGATGTCCAGGCAGGAGGGCAGCACTCGCAAAGGCCCTGGGGCAGGAAAGAAGTCCCGGAGTGAGCCGGGGAGAGAGGAGGAGCTAGACAGCGCCTCACTCTGCACCAGACTCGCCTAGAGGGGGCCCTGAACGCCTCCCCAGGTGGGCTCGTGGCTCTGAGGCAGGAGCCCCAGCCAGCTTAGGGCGAGGCTTGTGAATAAGTCATGGCTGAACCTCAGAGAACTTTCCAGCACACCCACTGGGAGCCAGGCCACGTGCTCAGCACTAGGGACACTGAGCTGCAGGTGCCCCCACCCTTGCCAAGGAAGGAGCCTGTAGCAGAGAAGCACAAGCCGGGCCCAAGAGAAGTTTGTGAATTGACTGATCCAGTTATTTACTCCAGAAACACTTACCGAGCACCTGCTGCATACCAGGACACAGACGGGCATGGGCAGCACACTGGCCTCCGGGGCGCAGAGTCCAGAAAGAGAAGCAGCCGCCCACTCGCCCGGCCCGTGCAGGGGAGAGAAGCTCGAGCTCAGACGGCCATTTATTTGTCCAGCACACAGCTATGCGTGCCCCTGCGTGGTGGACAAACACGGATGGCCTCAGGGGGCAGCCCATGGTCACAGCGCAGCTTCTAGAGCAGAATGACATGGGCTCAAGTCCCAGCTCTGCTGGGCATTAGCTGAGCGGCCTCAGGCATGTCACTCACCCTCTCTGAGCCTCAGTTTCCTCCTCTGCAAGGCGGGCACTGTGAGAGCTAAAGGAGAGACCGTCAAGGGCTGAGCCCCCACAGTCAGAGAGCCCCCTTGACCAGAGCAGTTTATTAGCCACACGACTGTCGTTCTTCCCGGCTGTGGGGCGAGCTGGCTGGGTCAGGAGCACGCCACAGGCTGGGGACCCAGGCACCCTCCCCAGGGGCACAGTCCAGGCAGCTGGGGGAGGGGCTGCATGTACAGCAACTGGAAAATGGCTCGTGTCCTCAAGTCACCGAGGGCAGCACCAGGCTGGCTGGCCCCAGCCCAAAAGCCAGGCCGAGCCTCGTTTGTGATGCAAACGGCTGGCAGTGGCTGTGGGCCAGGCCCCAGTCCCTGGCCAGGGCCCAGAGGGAGGGACAGCCGGGATCCTCCCAGCCAGCCTCGGGGGACCTTTCTGGGTGGGTGGGGGTGAGCAGGGCCCCCAGGCAGGGGAGACACATTCCTGGAGGCCGACGGGGAGCGCTGGGGCTGGTCCCCTGCTTGGCCAGCGGCACAAGTGGGAAAGTGTCGGCTGGCATAGGGGTTGGTCCTGCTGGAACCAGAGGTCATCTCTCAGAGCTTCTCCCCATGATCCAGCAGAAATCAGGGCCCCCGAGTCACCGCCCGTCATGTCCTGGCTGGTCCCCACTGGCTCTCCAGCCCCTCCTGGACCCCCTGCAAAGCTGCGGCTGCACAGATCTCTCCTTCTTCCCCCGCTCCCGGCCACCTCCAGGCTGGTTCACAAGCTGTTCCCCCTGCCTGGGACGCCCTTCCTGTCACCAAGGCCCGTCTCTATTTGCGTCTTTGGCCTTAACTCTGTACACGTAACTGTAGATTCTTTTTCTTAAAGATGGTGCCCAGAACTATATACACTTTGGGCCCCACAAAACCTGTGTCAGCCCCCAGTGGCCGGAAGATGTCCCCTGACACCCTCCTCCCCAACCCCTGAATGGCTGAGGAGGTCACGTCCTGTGTTGAACAGGACAGACAGAAGTGCCTGCCCTACAGACTTCCCTTCCACTGGGCTACAGGTACTTGACAGACAGATAAGTGCCATTCCAGGAATAACAATCGCTGCTCGAGATAAATGCAGGTCTGAGGTGTGAAAGAGCTACAGAGACAAATGAAGCGGGGCAGGGAGGGGGGCTCGGGCTGGGGAGGGGGCTGCGATTTTGAATGGAGCAAAGTAAGAGGTAAGGCGTGTGGATACCTGGGCAATGACTTGTCCAGGGAACGGGAACAGCACATGCAAAGGCCCTGAGGCAGAGGCACGCGTGGGAGGGCTCCACACTTCCTTGTGGAATTTATCAGACTGGAATCAAATAATTATTCCAGGGAGGACTAAGTATTTTCTGTCCTCACTACTAGGACCTTGTATGTGGTAGATGTTCAATAAGTAACCGGAGAATTTGTTTGTTCATTTGGAGCAAGGGAGGGACAGAGGGGTTGGGGCTGGTGAGGTTGTAATGGAGCCCCTCACTCCGTGGCTCTCGGGCAGCTCACAGGCTGGAGGTCTGTGGGCACCTGCAGGCAGACACCTGGGCCTGGCACCAGGGACCGCTGATGGGGGCACCGGGCAGCTTCCCTAGGGCCCTGGGTGAGGATGGGGCATCAGCAGGTGAGAGGGAAGCCGGAAGAGGACCGGGACGACGCCCGATGACCTCCGAGCTCGGTCGGAGGCATACGTGACCCCTTTAGATTAGGACTCCCCAGAAAGAACTGTGAAACCCTGTCAGGGGCGAGTTCCTGCCGGGCCACTGATGTTGGAACAAGAATCAGTCAAGCGTGGCCTTAGGCCCCGAATAGTGACCTGGGCTGCGCCTCCGGCAGGGCCAGGGCCATGGAGGGGCACAGGGTGGGACCCCAGCACGCCGTGGGGCCCTCCGACGGACGAGGGCAGCCGCAGCGCACTGCACGGGGGCCTTGCCCCGGGTGACTCCGTGTTCGTCCCCACCGCCGGCCACGCCTCCGCCTCCGCCCGGCCGCGCAGAGCACGCCCCGCCCCGCCCCCCACCCGCGGGATCCCGCGCGGCCGGCGCCCAGGCGGGGGCACCTGCGCGGACCAGGTGGGAAACCTTCAGGACGCACCTGCGGGGAGGGAGCCGGGCGCCGGGCGGAGCGGAGGCAGCGCGCAGACCGGCACGTGTGCGAGGTGCCGCGTGTGGCAGACGCGGCCGGGCCCAGGGCGGCGGGTGGGGGGGGGGGACCCCACGACGAGCCCCGCGGCCACGTCGGAAGAGGGAAGATGCGCCCTGTCAAGCGGCTGGGGGGGCGGCTGCCGGCGGGAGGTGGGGCGCGCAGGAGGCGGGGCGCCGGGCTCACCTCCAGGGGGCCTGTCCCTCCGGCTCGCTTCTCACGAGCATCCCGGCGCCCCGTCTCCACCGCAGAACCAGGGCGCGTCCCTGTGCGGAGAGGAGGGCGGCAGGGGAAACCTCAACGAGGTGCCAAACGCTGTTCTGGGAGGCCCGGCGGAAGCAGGGGCGGAAGTCACGCGGGCGACCGTCTCTGGCTGAACTCCTGCAGACGCTGAGGGGTTGGGGGCGGGGAGAAGGGTGCCAGGGAGCGCCCCCGACCAGGCCCCGTGCTCCACCCCCCAGGGAGCTGCCAGTCCAAAGCCAAGCCAGTGTGTGCTTTGCAGGGGGTGGTGGGTGGGTGCATTCATCCCCACCCGGTTCCTTGTCCACTCTGGCGGCCTCCACCTCCTCTCCCTGCCCACACTCTTGCTTTCCTGACCCACCTGCCGTTCCTCAACCTGGCGGAGCACACCCAACCTCAGGACATTTGCACATGCCGTGACGTCCTCTGCGATGCTCTTCCCACTGCTGCTTCCTTATACGGCTTCTCCCCAGTGAGGCTTTTGCTGGACCCACCTCTCACTTGGACCTGCTCGTTCTTCTCCATCACCTCACCTGCTTGTTCCTTCACACATTTGTGGCTCGATGATTTCTTTGCTTGTGTTCCTGAACAGCGAGCTCCTGGCAGGGCAGTGGCCACAGCCACCTTTTTCCCCACTGCAGCCCGGTGCCTGGCACAGAGGAGAAGCTCAGGCATTTGTAGAAGGTACAAAAGGAGAATCGTTGGGGTGCAATGTGCTGTCAGTTAGGGGGAAAATATTCAGTGGTTCTGAGGCTGATATAAGGGAGAGCCAGCGTCTAACCCGGGTGGGGAATTTTAGAGGAAAAACTCCAACTGCCTGCATGATAGAGGAGGCTGACTTTGTGATGGGTTAGGGCCCAGCGGGAGGGGGGCACATCTCTCCTGTGGAATAACCTGGAGGTGGGAGCCAGGGCCGCCCCCTGGACCCAGAGCATGAAACCAACATAGGCTGAGAAATGGAGAGAACCTGAGTCCTTACGACAGTGCTTGAGCTACTAGATCCAGCCATTCCTGAATCCAGCAGAAATTTTCAGCTGCATGAGCCAATCATGTCCAACTAACCTTTCACTAGAAGGAGGGCAAATCAATCAAGATTCTTTCCTTTGCAAATGACAGAAGACCCAAGTCAGACTGCTGCGGTGGGCAGAGCAATGTCTCTGCCCCCGAGACATTTATGTTCTAATGCCCAGAATTGGTGCCTGTGTTAAATCACACGGCAAAAGGCACTTTGCAGATGTGACTCAGGGAAGGGACCTTAGAACAGGGAGATGATCCCGGCTCCTCCACGTGAGTTCAGTCTAATCGCATGAGCCCTCGAGAGGAGAGGACTTCCTCCAGATGAAGGCAGAGAGAGGCAGCAGAAGGGGAAACTGGAGACATTAGAAGCATGAGAGCGACTCGACCCACGGTTGCTGGAGGGGCCACGTGGCAGGCACGAGAAGGAACTCGGGCAGCCTCGAGGAGCACAGACCTGCCCCCGGCCGTCAGCCATCGGGGAATGGGGACCGCGGTCCTACAGCCACAAGGAGCTGAATTCAGCCAGCAACCGGGACAAGGCTGGAAGCAGATTCTTCCCTGGAGCCTCCAGTAAGAATCACAGCCCTGCGGATCCTTGATTTCCGCCACTCCAAGCCGAGGACCCATCTGGATCCCAGTGTATCTGGAGAACTGACCTACAAAAGTAGGGCATAATGCATTAACGTTATTTTAAGCCACGAAATTTTTCATGATTTGGTACTACAGCAATAGACAACTAAGACGCTGGCTTAAGAATCAAGAGAATTGACTGGCTCTCACAGCCGGGCTTCAGGAATGGCAGGATCCAGCAGTTTAAACACTGTCTGTCATCAGGACTAGATTTCTTTGCTTCCTCCATCCTGCTGCCTCCTAAGCTGGTTTCATGTTCAGGCTCCGTGGGGTCGTCCTGGCAGCTTCAGGCTCTTACCCCCAGGTTAAACCCACGGGAAAGGGGGCCTGCCTCTCTGCCAGCTGGCCCAGCGTAAGCATCACTGTATCTCGTTGGCAGGAACTGGATCTTGTGCCCATTCCTGTACCAATCACTAAGGCCGGTGGGGTGCAATGTTCTTGTTGGCCAGGTCTGGGTCACATGCCCACCCCCTGACCGTGGGACTAGGGGTGGATCTGGAGCCCCCTGAGCCCCAGGGACAGGAGGAGGGAAGGGCTGGGTCCCCAGGGGAACACTGGGCACAGTTACGGGGAGTCAGTCAGCAAAGGGCCGCGGAAGCCCAGGCACAAGGGGGCAGTGGGCAGTCTGAGGTCCTGGAGAATCTGCTTTATTCTACTTTCTGGGGACGAAGCCCTGGGCAGGGGGGCCGGGCGGGGAGCCCCGAGCGTCTGCAGCCAGTGTGACTCCAAACCTCCAGAAAACTCCCGCGGCCACCAGGGAAGTGCCCGTTACTCGGGGCGGCTCTACCGCAACACAGAGTAAATAAGCCGGGTATTTACACCACGGCCCACAGGCTGGCCGCTGGCTCTGAGGCAAATATGGTCAGAACTGAATTCTGCGGCCCTTGCCGGAGAGCGCGGCTGTCCCAAGAGGGGCCGCAGGCGGCATCCCCAGCCACACGCCCACGGGCGTCCTCAATGATCCCAGAGGACCCGGCCACTCACTTCTGCTCAGCCTGGGCACCCAGATGACGCGCCCTCTTTCCCAGGGCCCGGACTCCTGGGGGCTTTCCCAGCTCAGCTCCTGGCGTCCAGGGTCCCCAGCCCATCCCCACACCTTCTCTCAAGAAGACTTATTTTAAGTCCCCCTACTATGTGCCTGGCCCTGGGCACAGCGGCTGGGTGCCTATGGGTGGGTCTGACACACTCCCGCCCCCTCCCAGCTCACAGTCCGGGATGGGAGACAGATGGGAAATGAGCGAACACATAAATGCACTGAGGAGAGCAACCCTGACCAGTGCTCCAAAGGAGGCAGGCGGGCCAGGTGCCAAGCAAGGGAGGGTGACAGGGAGTCAGCCAAGGATGGGCACGGCTGGTGTGAACATCTGCAGGGAGGGCAGGCCAGGCAGAGGGAACGCTCATGCAAAGGCCCTGTGGTCACCTGCTGAGCTCTGTCCTGCCTCCCCCAACCCCCGCTCCTATGGGTTCTGTAATTGTCTAGGTTGTTTCCTTGTTTCTTGTCCCTCTCTCCCTGTAAACGGAAAGCCCCACTAGGGCAGGAATTTGTCTGCTTTCTGTCCTGCTCTATCGCAGGGCTGGACCAGCCTGTACACGCTGGTGCTAATATGTATTAGCAGAGTTCACTGAATGCACAGACGACCAGTGGGCCGTGAGCCACGCAGGCAAGTGCAAAAGCTAGGTGAGGGCCCATCACGAACTGTTGGTGCCCAGGCCGCGCCGGCGCTGGAGGGAAATCTGGAGGAGCACAGACGTCCTGTCGCGCGTAGGCCTGGAGGGCGTGTCCCTGTGCCCACGACAGAAGGCTGTAGCCTTCCAGCGTTTTCCTGAGATTGTACTTCTCTTTAATCTTTCTCGTTTTTCACAATTACAGAAGCGATACACCTTGGTGGTGCCGCGTTCAAACAAAGAGAGTATGAAGGAAAAAGTGTGATCCACATCCGCCAGCCACACCGCTCCACCGCCCTCGATTCCCTGAAACCCTCTCACCGGGGGCCCTGCCCCGGGGCCACTCGATGGTGGGGGAGGAGTTCGTCCCACAGCCACGTGCCCCCACGGGCCACAGAGCCAGAGGCCCAGGGTGAGGGAGCCTGGTGGATGGCCGGTCCCCCGGCCCCCAGCCCCTGGCAACCACTGTCTACCTCCTGTCTCCATGGATTCATGTATTCTGGACATTTCATTTGATGAATCATACGAGACGTGGTCTTGGTGACTGGCTCCCCTCACTCAGCATCATGGTGTCATGTGTTGTGGTCTAGATCAGAATTTCATTCCTTTTTATGGCCCAATAATATTCATTGTACGGATACACCATCGTTTGTCTATCCATTTTTCAATCGATGGACAGTTAGGAGGCTTCCGCTCTGTGGCCACTGTGAACAGGGCCGCTGAGAACATTCATGGACAAGCTTTCGTGTGGATGGACGTTTCCATTTGTCTCGGGCGCATTCCTAGGAGCGGAATTTCTGGGTCACACGACAGCTCTGTGTTTCATCCTCGGAGGAGCTGCCGGGCTGCCCCGCGTCCTCGCATCCTGCTCCGTGTGCGGTGCGCAGGGCGCTCCCCTTTCTGCTCGGATGTGCATCTGTGCCACCCTTTGAACCCAATCTCGGGTCTAACGGGCGTAGCCCGCGCTGCCCTGTGGAGGGTCTCGGAGCCTCGCGAAGGGAAGCGACGCCCCTCCCCTGCTCTCCGCGCCGCCCTCCAAGGTCAACAAAACTATCTTTTAAGCTGAACCACGCAAAACCCAGAAAGAAACGAACCTGACTTCTTCCTCCAGCTACAGATGGCAGAGGCTTTTTTGACCTCTGAAGAAAGTAAAGAGAAAAACGAAGGGAAAATGCATAGGTGGAAACATAAATTAAAAATTTAAAGGAACAAAAAATTAAAAGGAACTAAGCACAGTGGTCCTTAGGCCAAGCTTCACATTAGAATCATCTAGAAACTCTTTAAAAAGTGCGCCTGCCCAGGCCCTTCTCTCAGGCCTGGGGTTCAGCTGGTCCCCGGCGGCCGTGCGGGGCCTCCTGGAAGCTCCTCGGAGGCGGGCTCTGACGGCCGCAGGGCCGATGGGGAGCCCTGCTGGCAGGGACAGCCTGGGCGCGCTGCGGGGACCCTGTAGTTCACAGCAGACCGTCTGTTGGGCGGGTTATACCTGGCTGGCTGGGGTTCGAGCCGGTGCTACCAGTGTTGGCAGTGGTCCACTGAGATCCCGAGATCCTCAGAACTGGTGGGGCAGGGAGTCTCCTCAGGGACTGACCCGCCTTCTCAGGACAGGGCAGCACTGGCCGTAATAAAGGGCTGGCGCTCCTTGAGCCCCTCCCTCAAACGTGTCCCTAAGCGCTCTTCCCACCTGCCTCCTTTAAGGCTCTATGAAGTGTTATTACCCTTTTTTTACTGATGAGGAAACTGAGGATCAGAGAGGGTGGGAGAATTGCCTAAGGTCACATCACTTATAAAGAAAGGAACCCAGATTCAAACTGAAGTCTGCCTGATTCCAAACCCTTGAATTATTAACCCTTGCACTGGACCATCTCCTGAGGCAAAGCTGACTTTGCTGGGGTGGGGATGGGGCCTGGTGGTCTATCCATCCCTCCATCCACCCCTCTATCCCTCCGTCCGTCTCCCCATCCATCCCTCCATCCTTCCATCCCTCCCTCCATCCATCCCTTCATCTGTCTCTCCATCGATCCCTCCCTCCATCCATCCCTTCATCTGTCTGTCTCTCCATCCATCCCTCCATCCTTCCATCCCTCCATACATCCATCCCTTCATCTGTCTGTCTCTCCATCCACTCCTCCAGCCCTCCCTCCATCCACCTCTCCCTCTATCCTTCGTTCATATCCTTCCATCCTTCCAGGCATCTCTCTACCCTCCGTCCACCA